CGCTCCGGCGCCCGCGGGCTCTCGCAGTCCTGCGGGCGGGGGGATGCTGGGTGCCGGTGCGGCACGATGCCCGGGGATGGGGACGGCAGGACAGGGCTGGGGGGTGACGGCCTCCCGCCCCGGCACTTACTGTGGCTTCAGTCCTCACGCCGCTGGCTTCAAAGCGGACCTTGGCGCGATACACCGAGTCCAGGTGGGTGCCGATGATGGTGAGCATCGAGCCCCTGCGGTGGGGAAGGGTCAGGGTCCCAGGGTGCACGTGGTTCCCGAGGTGCACATGGTCCCTGGGGCGCCTGCGATCCCCAGGGTGCACGTGGTCCCCAGGGTGCATGTGTTCCCTGGGGTGCACGTGGTCCCTGGGTTGCACGTGGTCCCCAGGGTGCATGCAGTCCCCAGGGTACAGGCAGCCCCCAGGATTAACATCATCCCCAGGGTGCACGTGGTCCCTGGGGCGCCTGTGATCCTCAGGGTGCACATGGTCCCTGGGGTGCACGCGGTCCCCACCACCTCATCCAGCCCAGCCAGGGGCTGTCCCCTCCCAGGGGAAGGGAGCCCACGCACTCACTCAAAGCTGCAGATGGGGATGACGGCCGAAACGAGGGGGTCAGGACGGTACTGGAAGGGCAGGGGGGCCGGGAACTGCTCCCCGTCGATCCACAGGGCCACCCAGGCTGTGCCCAGGCCACCGGCGGCGGGAACGGTGCACCGAATCACCCCATCGCCCTGCCTGGGGGACACAGTGGCCATGGCTGGAGGGGACAGCAGGACCATGGGGGAGATCCCGTGGCCGTCCCTGTGCCAGGGACCCCGCTGTGCCCGGCGAGGGCAGGGGCGTACCTGGGCTGCTCGGCCAGGGGACACTCGGAGCCATTGACCGTCACGTGCCAACTGCTCCCTGCCGAGAGGTGGGTGCCGCGGAGCGAGAGGTGGGTGCCACCCCCCCGGGGTCCAAACAGGGGGTGCAGGGTGCTGATGTGGGGCTCCTGGGCAGAGACGGCGTCGGTGAGGTGAGTGGGTGAGCCAACCCCCCCCCTCCGCCTCCCAAACCCTGCCAGGGGTGACCACCAGCGCGGGGTCGTACCACAAAGGGGAAGCCGC